ACCATACCATACCATACCATACCATACCATACCATACCATACCATACCATACCATACCATACCATACCATACAACTTTCATTTAAAGCACTTAAACTTACACTTAGTTTAAATTACAGTCAAAATACAGTCAAAATATAAATCAGAATCCAGAGCATTTATATTTAYAGCACATATAGAACAGAGTTATGATACACAGTGAGGTTTTGCACCATCTCACAGATTCAAAGGCCAGGGAGTAAGTGTGTTTTTAAACAAGATTTGAAGATACGAAGGAAAGGAGACTGTGTTAATGGATCATAACCACCACCAGGCATTAATTTTCAGACTCTGGGACCTCCCAACTTTATGATCAATCCACCCACTAGAGCTGTTACTGAAGTGTAATGGAAAACCACSCAAATTGWGCTGAACAGAATTGAGCCAAGTTGAACCATGCTGGAGAGGCTCTAGTGGAAAAGGGCCATTATGGTGCTAAATAGTTACAGCCAAATATGAGATRAGGACTGACCTGGTGGAAGTAGAAATTGACCAGCACYAAGTAATTCTGTTCCTATATTAATYTTATAAGTGCAAAAAGAAAGAAAAAAATGACAGACTTTCACTTCTCCTTCATGAAGCTCCAGAGCCTCTCTTGGATCAGYCAGCCAGGGGTCAACTGGGCTCAGCTCCAGCAGCTGAAGCCCTCTATCATCCAGGATTTCTATTTCTGTGTGTGGAATAAAAACACTCATGTTTAATCCATTTGATTATTGTAAAGCTTTACATTGATTTAAAACATTTTATTTTCAGTTGTCTTCCAAATAAGTATTTCACTAAGGCATTGGCTTGTTAATGGTTTCAAGGTCAGGGTTTCCCCCAGTGCGATATAAGGCTGGCAGGCCACCAGGCTTTACTTGTCTCCCCGCCGGACTGGGTTCATTTTCTTAGAGTAGACGTCACCGTGGAGCAAGTGGTAAAATAGCAGTCATCATCATTGAGCAATTAAGCAAAAAAAGCTATTGTAATGCCCCTCAGTGTGCAAAAATGGCTCATAGTCATCTATAAACTCTTTAGTTTCACAAATGGCTAAAAAAAAGCAACAGGAGAGGCTGATCCAGCTGCAACTCACTGGACCGACATGAAAGCACAGAGCCCCTCTGTCTCGTCTCTGTCTCAGGCAGCACTGCTTTCTCCACACACATACCGTAGTTGTTTCTAATCACAGTTAGGGTGGGGGCTGGAGCCTATCTCAGATGCCAAAGCAGGGGACACCCTGGACAGGTCTCCAGTCCATCACAGGGACACCTGGACAGGTCTCCAGTCCATCACAGGGACACTTAGACAGGTCTCCATCCATCAGGGACACAGAGACAAACTATCCACACTCCCAGTAACAACCACACAGAAAAGCTTCAAAGGGTTTTCAAATTATGTACTCTAGACTCAGGGATCAAATTATTATTAGTTATAATAGTTAAGAATGATTCATCATATCAGCCATTATTATTGATAATTATTAAGAAGTCTTCAACATTAAGATATTAGGCAGTCAACTATATACACATACATAAATTTAGTATTATTAATACTGTAATTAAAGGTGAGCCTTCGTGTTACTCGGTACCGATGACCCCTGCTATAGCTGACCATTAAATATTAAATGACTAATATTCCAAGTTGTGCAGAATAAGTTGTGAGTGCAGTCATTGCCAATATCTTTAGGATTTTTTCAATAAGCAGTCTTCAGCCACATATTAAAACTACAACTACATATTAAAACAACCATATTTTATTTTTAATTTAGAATACTGAAGCAAAAATCAACCACTGTGGATTTTTAATTGGTTCAATTTTACATTTAGGTTAACAAAAACATTTGTTTTTATTTTGCAATTTGTTTTTGAGCAAAAAAAAGAAGGAACCATCCACAAATTAATACACAGATTCATTGCTTTTGTTCATAAGATTTGTCTGTTTATTTCCATCCTGTGTTGCATTCATTTTTCAAGATCTTTCAATGATAATGTTTAAGTGGGAGGTGGGTCTACAACCTCAAAAAACAATATTTAAATATTTTTCATATAGAAACCAGTTAATATGCTCCTACACACCATTTGTATGTGAATGCAAGGTTTAAATAATAATAATGATTTTAAAAACACGTTTTGTAAAAACAAACCATGTGGATAAGGCGTAAGTTTAACCAACCAGTAAAATGCAGTTGAAGACAGTGTTGAGGCCTAATAAAAGTGCTTCGACATGCTTGCATTAAAGAAACCCATTCAGGCACACCTTACCAAGCTCATCCTGGACGAAGCTGTCAGGCGGGTTCACATATTTCATTGATGACAGATTAAGCTTCCAGTTGTGTTTAGTGCATTTAACAGTCCTGTGAAAACAGAGCAGCAATTAGCTGTTTTCAAAAGTTTGACAGTTAAAACTCTGATGACAGTTTGGACAGAAAAACCTCACCTGCCATCCAGGTCTTCAATGTCTTTAATGAAAAGCCCTCCTTGATGTTTGCACAGATTTTTGCATGCTTTATAGCCATCCTTCATTTTGTATATGATGTAACAACATCCATTCTCTGGGTTTTTCTTGAAATTCACTCCTTCTTTGAGTGAGTCGACCTCTTTGGCGTCCAGTGACAGCACTACTTTTACTGTTTGAGCAGTCATCGTATCTAAACAATAAACAGCAGATCAGAGATCAGATTTACATTCATTTTCATTTTATTGATTATTACTGATATAGAAATACTTCAGAAAGGAAAACCTCATGTTGCATCTGAATATTTTGTTTTTCAATGAGTTTGGTATCGAACAATGGCATCTTGCCCCATGTTCACATRCTGTAGTTTTAAGGTCAAACAACAGTTGGAAGCAAAACAACTWTTTACAAGCTGTTTAAACCATTTTTGGAAGCCCTAATAAAGGATTATTCATTTGGGTTTTACACTAATTAAAGTGAACATTTTTAATTGCCATTTATGAAAAACAATTATAAATTTGGATACAACTGAAATGACAAAGGATCAGAGTAAAAAAGGAAGATCACAGTTTCAACCACTTAAACACAAACCTGCTTTTCATCATTAAACAAAAGAAAATAACACATTTCACAAACATCCAGGAAAAAAACAAGTCAGTTAGATTTCCTCTTAACAATTGTTAATGTTGTTTTGTACAGTATGTACTTGGTACATAGTGGGTACTTAAATGATCCTTAAACAGCTGGTTTCTATGAGAACTAGGTTGTATTATAGTGACTTGTTACCATACTTACACAGTACCTGCTACTTACCAAATACATATCTTGTATCAACTGTTCTGATACCCGGTACCTACCTGGTAAGTATTTTATAAGTACTTTGGAAATATCAGGTAACAAGTCACTGTGTAACACAACCCGATACACACTCAGTATGTACCAGGCAAGTATGCAGTTTGTACCAGGCTGTATTATGTATTGCACCCAAAGTTATTTGAAAATTAAAGGTGTTATTATTTAATTGAAGACATTTTCTTAAACACACAAAACAGTTACCAATTASGTACTAAATACCTACTGAGTACATACTCTGTATTTATTTGGAACTTACTAGGACTGGGCCGTACTATGTTATAGCTTGTTGCCATGTACTTAAAGTGTTCATATCTGTTATTACTGGGTATTTCTCAGGTACCTGTGCACCTGATAAGTAYACTGTGGGTAAGATGTAACTACTAACAACATCAGTACATACCAAGTATGTACGCAATAAATACTGGGCTTTATTGTGCATCACTACCAAATTCATTATTTATAAATCAAAGGTTTGTAGTATTATTTCTTTAAAAAACACTTTCTAAAAAAACAAGTAGATGAAACAGCACAATCTAAATGTGAATGTCCAACAATAACACATCAGACAAAAAGGGGCAGACAGAATTTTTTCTCACAGGAAGCTCCAATCAACACGCAGAAAGGTTCCATGTGCCGTGTTCCACAGGGTTGTATCAAAACAAATACTGTGTACTGAATGCAAACTTTTCACCTGCCATGTGAGCGATCATATTTCCATGCTAAATTTTTCAGTCGGCTCACCTGAACACACTAAAGCAAGTCTCCATTTGAATTTTAAGAACTTATTTTAACACGATAATTCTCATGAGTTCAACCATCCATCCATTTTCTGTACACATTTCTTCCTTTTCAGGGTTGCGTGGGTCACTGGTGCCCTTATCCAGCAGTCACAGTTCAAGGGGCAGGGTACACCCTGGACAGGTCGCAAGTCTATCACAGGGCCACACATAGAGACAAACGAGACAAACAACCATTCACTCTCTCACTCACACCTAGGGACAATTTAGAGTTACAAATTAACCTAACAGTCATGTTTTTGGTCTGTGGGAGGAAGCCAGAGTGCCTGGAGAGAACCCACGCATGCACGGAGAGAACATGCAAACTCTACCCAGAAAGATCCCCAGACCGGGATTTGAACTGGTGACCTTCTTGCTGAGAGGCATCAGCTCTACCAACTGAGCCACCGTGCCGCCACTACCAACTGAGCCACCGTGCCGCCATGAGTTCAACCATTTATTGTTAAAACCTGAACAATGAAACTGAACCTCATTCAACACACAGTACATCCAGTGTCTTTAAA